GACATCATCGTTGTGCCCTCTTCAACGCTAACGCTCTCTCGACTATCTAATCACTCGCCGCAGGTCTATACGTGGCGAGTGATTAGATAGCAGAGAGAGCGTAGTGTTGAAGAGGGCACAGCGATGAGTCGCATCAATGCTCAAATCAACGGGCAAGGAAGGGGTCCCATTTCTCGGGTTCTGGGCCGTTTCTCATGGTTTTCCTTCTTTCGTGTACCACTCACCATCCCTAACTTAATTTGAAATGGGTTGCTTTTTCATCGTAAATTCGTCATTTTGAAGAGCCAGTCACGATTAGATCCTTGAAGTCATTCTCTCCTTGGACGCGGTTAGGGTCCGCAGTCACGGGCGTGGTGGTACTATCGCGGATTGCAAATGCGCGACAAGGGGCTGATGCCTTCGCTTCATTTCTCGACTGCTGCCATTATTATCATCGCGGCATACGTGGTGTTTGCGCCTTCTCACGTACGACGTGCTCTCTCGCGTTTTCCCTCTCCTCGCAGCGCTGTGTCTCTCCGTCATACCACGGTCGACCTCACAAGAGGAATTTCACTGTTTTCTATGGTGCTTTTGGCTTTTTCTCCTCTATTATCGCACCAATTGCTTTGTGTGCAAGAGTCACCACAATGTGATCCTGGGGCATGCATTTAAGGTTGTTTTCCTCGGTGAAGTACTCGTATCAGCTATTTTTTTGCAGTTTTTCCTGTACACCGCTCTGTTTTGTACGAGCTTATGTAGCCTATATATAACAAATATGTGGACCAAATACGATTTGATTCTAGTTACTCCTTGTGCAAAATTTTATAACTTGCTGTTCCTTAACGCCCTCCACAATTCTTTGCATTGTATCCATGCAAACTGTTTTCCGGATCAGTGTGCAGCTGATTTTCTACATGATCAGCATTCGCGAATCAAAATTCCCAGCATGTCGTCAGACTTCGTCAATACACTCAAGAATTTATTTGCAATATGTCTTCTCAGAGCATCGGCTCAATGGCGCTGTTGCCATGGTGCCGTCACTTGCTACCAACTGAGCGCTTGCTCGGATTCGGAAGCGCGACCTCACTAGCCCACACCTTTTCGCGTTACTGTCCAAGTATTTCACCTACAAAATCCGACACGATGGGATTCTAGACATCATCAAATCATTCAAGTCGAATAATGGACGTGAAATTCGAATTCTACTCCTTGGACTCGATAACGCTGGCAAAACTAGTATTCTGAAGCAGCTCTCGGCTGAAGAAATCACAAACGTAACTCCAACTCGTGGATTCAACGTGAAGAGGTAGTCACAAGCGCGACATCGGCTCTCAAACGTCTGGGATATTGGTGGTCAACGATCGATACGACCATTTTGGAGTAACTACTTCGAAAATACAGATGCACTAATCTATGTGATTGATTCGAGTGATCGGCGGCGTTTTGATGAGACAAGCGTGGAGCTGATGGAGCTGCTCGATGAGGAGAAGTGAGGTAGAGCTTATTGCTTGGCTCTTCAGGTGCTGGTGGGGTGACCCTTCCGTAATCTACTCAGTCAAAGCTAGCGCAAAATGTTGTGTAATCCCCAACGATAAGCATGAATGCCAATTGCATTTCTGGCGTCAATCATAAATAGTTCTGGCTTCTCATAATGCCTAGCAACCAATAACGAAACTGGGCCACCTATTGATTGTCCAGTAGGTTTTGGCCGTCCTGATCGCCTCTGATTAATTTACGAGCCCGACAGGTCTGCACGAATAGTTAGCGCCGATGTATTTGCACCAGCGACCTCAGGCGCTCCTCGTACTGTAATATTTCCGCGCTAGCGTGCTATTTTCGGTCTACAGGAGTTGTCTGACCTCCTGTCGCGCTGCTTTCTTGCTCGCCCAACAGCAGTGTTCCCTCCCTTATCCCACAATCCGCACGGTGGTTTTTCTCATTGGCCTTTGGGATCCACCAAATCGCCTGAATCTATGGTACGAGGTGAATTGCCATGACTACGTCTACCATGCTAATCTCGCTTCATACATCTCGCATACCCTCCCACTACAATAATGCCGCGGAGAGGGAACTTGGTAGATCGGTGACCATCACACTCCTCACTGTCGTTTTCTATCTTCTCTTCGCTTTGTCTATGGGGAGACTCCTAAGGTTGGTCGCTGACTCCTGGCACTAACGGATAGATCAATCTCAACCAGAATTGATTTTCTGAACCCGAGTCTGAAATTTGATACCCCTAATGCCTTGTGAGCACGTTGTTGCTCTTGGCACATTATGGTCAGCTGACATGACCAGCCTTTCCTACCCGTTGAGCACTTCCCGACCAACAAAGTTTCTATTGTGCAACTACTGTACCGCTCGGTTGTGGAGCTACCGGGCAACTAACGAAACATCCTAGTGTCCAAGCCCTATCGTAGAGACGCGGATAGTTGGCGGTGTGAGACCGTACTAAATGCTGACTGCAGTTCATTAGCTGCAGGACCTACTTTTCATAAACACTGTCATACGAGGGGTTCCATGGAATGGAGAAAGGTTGCAGATATTGGGTTCGGCTGTTCAAACTTCGTTGATTTCACCCCGCTCACAAGCCGGAAATTCTTTACCCTACTGCGATTCAGTTGCATCATTGCTTTTTCCTGAGACCCCTATTTACCCCCTCACGAGCGCGCTTACAGTAAAGGAGCCACTACATCGCCCACATAATCCCCTTAGTTGGCCAATCCATGGACACTCGAAGTATGCATAATATTTGAGATGTGGCGCGGAGAATAAATCTACTCGAATGTCCTGTCATTCCTACTTCCCTCACTACAACACTTCGTCTTCACAGGATTCGTTAGTATTTTGATGAGTTTTTCAGCCGTGTGCCTGTCTTGATATTCGCTAATAAGCAAGATTTGGTCTCTTCGGCGCCGGCGTCGGAAATTTCGAAACGTTTGAAGCTCACGGAGATTCGCGATCGAGTCTGGCAAATCCAAGGCTGCTCGGCGCTCACTAACGACGAAGGTGTCTCCGAAGCAAAAACAAAATGGGTCGCAGAAGACGATAAATCGGAAATGAATTAGTGTCATTTATCAGGCGAATAAATCGATTTTCAATTTTCTTCTTCTACTACTGTATCACATCTTCCAGAAATTAGATAACGAAGCACTATGTAGTTTGAATATTTTTTCGCACATTTCTTTATAAATGTTTTGGTGAGTCTTTTTAATTTTTTTAAACAGCATTCGAATTGGGCCTCTTTTCTCAAATATGGTCATATTTCAGACTTTGACCAGCTCTCACCCGGTCTCTGAAGAAAAGTTCAAAGAAGAAGTCGAAAAGGTTGGTGCTTTGTTTCACACATGTGGTTTGTGAGGAGCATCTTCTAGGCACTGCGCTCTTAGAATGGAAGTCAGTGAAAGGATATGTCTGCTCGAATTTCTTAGGCGCTGATCTTTTTACGAGAGGGGGCACCATAATGCAGCGAGCCCATACGCCCATTTTTTATAAGCAGTTTTTGATGTTCCCAGGGTTCCTCCCCCTCTCCTAGTCTCACCCACGTATTCTCATGCAATGGTGTTCTGTCAAATGAAACTATATGCCATAACGTCATCTTCATTCGATGTTCGCTATCTTATCCATGAGCGGGCGGATCCTCACTTCTTTGGCAGGCCAAGTCATTGTATCTTTAACTTCAGGCTGTAGATTTGCTGTACGATGCGGATCATCTGCACTATTTCTTTACGGATCGAGATGGCACTTTGAAGAGTTACGCGTGCAGTTATCCGTCCAGTATTCAACCAGCTTACTCCGGAGTCATTCAGGTATTTCGGTTTACTTTTTAAACGTTGCAAAGGGTATAAAGGGGAGTGATTGAGAATCAGTACGCGTTGGGCGATCGTCAGGCAGTGAGGTAATGTACGGTATGTTTTGCTTTGGAGGGGGCAGTAACTACTTGATCACACTGTTTGTGGTGCAACCTTGTTCAAGAAATGAGTTAATACGATGCCTGCCAGTATCATCGGCCCGTCAGTAAGTAAGCCTACTTACATATCTGCCCACACAAAGCATACAGTGTGCTAGGCTCGCCAAGGCCAACCAAAAAACTTGGTAGAGCATCGCATTGGTGAATCTTGAGTTTGGCCCACTGGAACTATGCACACTTGTTTCCGTTCCACAATACACGCTAATAATTTGATCTTGGGAGGAAAGAAGGTGTGAATTGTACTGCAATTTCAGTTTACTCTTTCCATTCCAGGCTCAATTCGCTCGACGATGTGCTCAGACATGCTGCATTCTTACCACTGCACCGATGATGCATGTTGGTAGGCTTTTACCGTTATACCTTTGTCACTATTTATAGCTCACCATTGGGTTATCATTTTGTGTTCACTGGACGCGTCTAAAATGGTAGGGAACTCAATAAAACGCTTTCATGACTCTCGGCAGTGGCTGCGAAAATGGTCAGAGTTCATTACTTGCCCTGCTGTTTTTAGCTGTCACCACTTACAAACTGAATTATACACTGAAATGGGATTACGGCCACGAAAACTAAAAGTATAAGCGGCTGCGTAATTAGTTAGCATGCATTGAAGTAGCATTTTTTAGATGCAACTTTTGATTTGACTCGAGCTTATTCATTCGAGATATTCGATTTTTCCTCAGTTCTCTTCTTTTCACTTCTCGACCAATCTCGGATAGCGACACAAAATGGGATTGAAATGAATCACGAAATGTGCTATAATTAGGTAGAAGTACGTTGTAGGCCATTGAAAGTGACGAAGGGAGAGTTAGTGAAAACTGTTAATGCCAGCGGGAATGTCAATGAGCTATGGATTCTCGTGTTGGTCACTGTGCGCATGCAGGCTTCGTGGGCAAATTCGCTAAACTTGCGTTAGCGTACCTGAAAAAGTTTCAGCATTTCTTTCGTAATGAATTGCCATTGTTCTCTTCTAGGAGTGCTCGATGTCTCCACTATACCGCCTGGCTACTACTATTATGGTGCATCGGCTGGACGAGAATGGTTCATAGATCCTACGAACAAATTCAAGGATACAAGTATCCCCGAGAAACATCTGCAGTTGCTTGATCAGGTCAGTCTTTTGGAAGCTAAAAAACGGAGTCTTTGTGTAGCGAATCGAGCCATCTGAGCAGAAGTTGGGCCGGTGAAATAGCGCAACCTCGCCTCTGGCTCTCGACGAATCCTTGATGTTGGTAAGGCTACGCTAGACTAGAACTACGAAAAAATACGTATCGTGTGGACTAGGAGACAGGTCGCCTGGGTACAAAATCGTGATGCTGCGAGAGGGGGAGGGGATGCGGGGGAGAGTTGAATCTTAGAATCAGCGTCCGAGAACATTACCGCCAAACAGGGTAATGGGTACTTAGCTTCGCTCAGCAAAAGGACGGACTTTGCAGACGGAGGACGCTGAGGAGGGAGGAGTGGAGGAAAGAATTTCATGTCTGGCCGTTAGAGTGCGCCATGGAACGCTTCCCAACCAATCTTTTCCTGCTCGGGGTTTGGGAAGCAACATTTCGTGTGATAAGGAAATATCCTACTATATATAATCGGCTAAGCGGTTGTGTGTGTGTGTATGTGTTTGTCTGTCTGACCGGAAATTCATAGCTCGGGCACCAGTGGTCGTCAGGAGTTGGTTTCAAGATATGATATAGGGGGTGGGACGGGAACATATTTGGTGGGGTAAAGAAAGTGATCACAACTGATAAGGGCTGATAAAAGGCGCTAGAACGCAAGTGTCGCGAAATTCATAGCTCGGGCACCAGTGGTCGTCAGGAGTTGGTTTCAAGATATGATATAGGGGGTGGGACGGGAACATATTTGGTGGGGTACAGAAAGTGATAACAACTGATAAGGGCTGATAAAAGGCGCTAGAACGCAAGTGTCGCGAAATTCATAGCTCGGGCACCAGTGGTCGTCAGGAGTTGGTTTCAAGATATGATATAGGGGGTGGGACGGGAACATATTTGGTGGGGTAAAGAAAGTGATAACAACTGATAAGGGCTGATAAAAGGCGCTAGAACGCAAGTGTCGCGAAATTCATAGCTCGGGCACCAGTGGTCGTCAGGAGTTGGTTTCAAGATATGATATAGGGGGTGGGACGGGAACATATTTGGTGGGGGTCACAAAGTGATAACGACTGATAAGAGTAGATACGAGGCGCTGAAATACAAATTTCACGAAATTCATGTGCGCTTCGCAGCAGTCGTCAGGAGCTGATTTTGGGACATGATATAGGGGGTGGGACGCAAACATATTTGGTGGGGGTCACCAAAGTGATAACGACTGATGACTGATATAACGACATGCGTACGAACGTAGCGTACGAGCACGAGCTATTGAAATAGAAATAGAGAGAGCAGATTGTAGATAATGCCTTTTATTTCAATATCATTTCATCAGCGTTGTAATTGTAAACTCAAGCACCTTTCGACCGCTACACTCCTTCTAGAGTTCTTGAGGATGAATGGGATGCTCGAATAAATATGATAATGAATACTAGGCATTCCGTTTTGAGATATTCGACCGCTAAATTACCTCGATACTCGACGCATAGTGGTTGTTTACATCATCACTTTAGCTGTGCACTTCACTGCGCTTATCAAACAGTGAGATACAGCCAAGATGGGCAGCCTATGCAACGGACAGTAATACATTTAACGAAGCAGCTATAATTTAGCGGTGAAACCTAAAGCTTCATCGATTGTCAGTTCTATCAATGCGCGCGGTAGCGGGCGGAGCTAAACTGGTTAATAATATTCTAAATGGAAAAGTGTGATCAACATGAAAATCACTGAAGGAGAAGCAAGTTATATTTAGGTAGTAATAATGCAAATGAGAAGAATTGAGCTACTTTCTACTACTAGTTACATCGTTATATTTAGGTGTTTCAACTTATTCAAGAGCTGCTGGAACGTCAGGAATTCCGAGTGTTCACTGGGTCGGCTCCGGATTACAAAAGCATTACGGGCACGTTACTATTGCACATCACAAGATATATACGGCTAGTGCCAGTCTTTAGGTAGTTTTCGGAAAGAGGTAACTCACGCGAGATTAGTGGGGATGGCTGAAAAGATATGGTGGAATCCAATAAGATTTCAGAGAAGAACCTCCTTGGAAATTCTTGAATTAAATTAACGTTCTTGTTGCATCGAAATTTTTGAGGCAACGATTACGAAAGATCTTGGAGGGGTTTAGAGGGGATGTGTGGTCTCAATGGTACGCCAGTGGCGAAAAAAGCAAAGAAATCCGTAAAAAATAAGAAAAATGGTGTACCCTTTGGATGCCCTTTCACTTTCGACCATGGATTAGCGACGGTAAAGAATGAAGTTCTCCGGACGTGTGAGTTAACCCCAATAGCCGCCATCATGCCAACAAACATAGTATTTTGATTGAGAAGGCATTACATAGGGCAAGTTGGAGGATACAGCCACTAAAAGGGAAAGGACCTTCCAAAATGAAAAGGCCAACAGGGAACAGCTCACCCAATGACCAAGTGGGGGTGTAAGTTTTCGAGGCGGACTAAGTACTGCTCAGCAACCAGGGCACCTTCGTCGTGTTAAAGCACCACACTTTGCATTCTTGGCAGCCAAGTACATAACTGCTTCATGTGGTATATTCCCTCGATGCTTCCTTCGTAATCGTTTCCCTTGAGCTATAACTTTAACGAGTAGGAAAATTTCTATTGGCGCGAATGAGAGAAGTCCACTTTCTAAACATTTGAAGGACTTGAATCTTATCTTTTCAAGGTGCCCACTAATGTCAGCGAGGAGTTGTTTGACGAGATTCATCACATCGTCAGCATGCTCGATCCAGATTCCACCGTTTTGGAAGTGAAGACGTCGAAGCTTGACACTAAAATCGTGCTCAAGGTATGCTTTTTGGAATGTTGTCCAGAAGTGCATCTTTGTAGACAGAAGGGCCAGAAAAACTACAGATCTGCATTACTTTAGCAGTTGGCGTGTGCTTTGTGGTGAGCGCTCGAGAGACGTGCTTGCACATCTCATTTCAGCGTTGAACTCTGAAATGTAAATTCGAAAATTATGTTTACGAGATATAGGCCAACTTCAAAGTAATTTTTGTCGTAAAGAAAAGTAAAGCAGAGAATAAAGTGGTGCGTGAGAGCGCTCAATAGTGAAGACGGAATGGTCAAAGGTCTGAAAATGAAAAAGAAACCTTAGCCCACAAAAGTGAGCAGTTCTCAGCAGCACCCTTTGGGGGAACGAACATCACCACCAAAAAAGTCAAAGAACCAACGGAAATATTAAAAGTAAATGCTTAATCTTCCTGGGAGGTCGGCTGTGGTACGATAGAGAGACCCAGGCGCATAGAAGCGAGAATACGCGAGAGAAGCTGAGACGCCACAGGCACATTGGCGAACACGGCCGCTGCATGGTGGGCGAAAGAGGTACCACTAATGGCGACTAATCTGGAGCATTAGTAAGGCCCTAGCGTCCTTGTTACCCACATTCTGGCCGTGCGAACGATGCGTAGATAGCCTTAGCAAACAGCTCTATCCTATCCACGTAACGGATTACTTCCAATGATGTAGGGTTTGTACTTCCAAGGGTCTCGGGTGTGCTTTTGAATATTATCAAGAATGAACCAGCAAGTTACATCGAAGTGATTTGTGTCTACTTCGCTGCCTAAAACTCTGTCGTTTATTTATTTACCAGGTCCGCCCGCTATCGCGCATCACAGGGTAGGGAGGAACCACGGAATAGCAGCATGACGTACTCCATTAACCACCTCACTATTGAATGTGTTATACCTCCTTATACCCCTTCTCTCCGGCGCATAGCAGATGCTAAA